GTGATTCTCAATTGGGCAATTTTACCCCCAAGAGGGCATTTGGCAATATCTGGTGACCTTTTTTAAAAATTTTGCTTAAAATGTTTACAACATAAATAAATAAAGGAATAGCCATCTTAATAACTTCTAAGTGTACAAGTCAGTGGCACTCATTACATTCACGATGTGGTGCAGCCATCAGCATTGTATGTCTCCAAAACTTTTCATCACCCCAAACAGAAACTCTGTAACCATTAAGCAAATGTCTCCACTCGGGAGACATTTTTGAATGTCAGACTATTTTGGGGGATTAGGTGCTTCTGGCATCTAGTGGGTGGAGGTCAGGGATACTGCTCAGCACCCTACAATTCATAGGACAGACCCTCAGCACAAAGAATTATCTGGCCCAAAATGTCAACAGTGACAAGATTGAGAAAGCCTGCCCTGGGTTGAAACGAGCCTCCGGAACAGGAGCTGACCACACTGCACTGGTTGTATTGTGACTCAGAGGGCTGGTGAGCAACATCAAGAGGGCCTCACTTAGTTCAGATGCATCTGCATGCACCCCAGGGGCCTCCAACAGATTCCTCAGCTGCCACGCCTCCTGGCAGGGCTCTTGGTCAACACAAAGATGGCTTCTACGCATGTTCTGGTTGTCGAAAGGATGCCCAAGGGTGACATCACAGCAAAAGTGCCTCCTTGAAACAAAAGTGCATAGGGGAATAGGCAGCTGAAAAGAACGATGGCTCTATAGCTCTGAGGAGTGCAGAACCTCCTGGTAAGATGAACTTTGCCCATGAACTCCCACGCAGAAACCAGGAACAGCCCCACAGCTGGAGCAGAAGCACGTGGCCAGATGAGGGCGCACTGCACTTCCAGCAAGGTCTCCACTCCGACCTGACTTGTAGGGGCCAGAACCCAGGCAAACACTGATTCTCATGGCAACAGAGACAAAGAGCCGAATGATTCATCGACAAATACAGTAGTACAGGGATAGACTCTAGAGTAGGTGTGTGAGGGGGAAAATCCTGTACGAGCATAGTTCAAAATTACCCTAAACATTTCTTCGGAAGCAAACATTTCGGCTCTCAAAAAGTCCAAAGCAGCATTTCCTCCAGCTTCGGATAAATTCAGCTGAGCACGAGGTCAGCAGTCAACTTGCATGCAAAACCCCTGCTGTATACATAAATGGTTTTCTCAAAACATCGTACTTCACTCAGTGTGGCAGAATGCCCACACTTTGCAAGGCGCACAGAAATTGAACCAGCGGAGGGACTGGTGAACTCACAGCCAGTCACACCTACTCTGGGATAAGTACTTGCTGCGTGAAAGTCAGGCAGGATCACCTTCCTACCTTCCCCCATCCTACCCTCCCCAACACATGTAGCTGACTGATCAAAGGCGCACAGGATGGGTTTCCACAGTATCTCCTGAGCACCTACTCTGTGCCAGATGCCTTGCATGCCTAAATGGCTCAAAAAGCAGCATGCATCCTGGGTGAGGACGAAACCCATCCCAGAACCATCCGTTCAGGCTACAAAGTCAGGATTAGACTCCTCCATTTACCAAGTGACCCTGCTTTCTTGTGCCTTGACCCTGACCACTCCAGTCTTCTTGAAAAGAGCCGATTTAGTACTGTCATTGTCATTTTCCTGTTCATAGGATCCATAGTGTGGAAATTCAAAGTCCAAATTTTAAGAAACCATGAAAAATCTTCAGCCTGTTGAAAACCGCCAAAGTGCCGATCCTCCCTCATAGCAAGGAGGCCACGTAGAGCGGTGACTAAGAGCGCGGGCTCAGGAGCCAGGCAGACTTGGGCTCGAGCCCAGCTCTGTCCCACACTAACTGCATGCTCTTGGACAAGTTGCTTAAATTCTCTGTGCCTGGTATCTTAATTGCAGCGTCCTCCTAGGGTTAGGAGGGTGAAGTGAGAGAATCCAGGGAAAGGGCTTAGCACAGAAACTGACCCACTGAAAGTACTCAGTCATATCATCAGTGCTTTTGCCGTTGCAACAGATACCGAATGGCTTCTCATCTCATCCTGACACAGCCTGATACCTGCATTTTCACAGGTACCATATTTTAAGGATATGGCCAGAGTGACACTGCCCCTCCTGTGTCCATCACACACACCTCTACCCAGAGCAGCAGCACGGGACCAGCCATCAGATTAGCTATTACCTGTCTCCTCCATAAGCCTCTGTCCACCTGAGGACAAAAATATCTCCTTATCTCTACTTGGCACAAGGCAGAAAATGGGGGCTGCCGTTGGCTAACAGATGCTGTGCCTCGGTTTGAGTCCTGGCTCCGTCATTCCCTAGCTGTGTAACCTCAGGGCAGCTAAACTTCTCTTTGTCTCAACTCCATCCCCTGCAAAATGGAGATAATACTCAGGATTACATGGAAGAAGCCTGGCAGAGAAAGCAGTGTTATGTCTTTTTGAAATAAAAGAGATGGTCTCTGAGACCTCACATTTAGCAAGTCTCGTATCCAGCTCATCTCCCCATCCCTACCTTCAGCCTTATTTTCTTTCCATCTGTGTTCTAATCTAGTAACATCGCTGCCCGCCCAAGCTAAAATATCGCAAACCTTTTGAACTCTTTATATCTTCTCCTTGGCTTTGCCTGCTCCCCTGCCCCTCCCTCACTAACCTTCCATCTAATGACCAAGTCCTGTCAGTTCTACCTAAAATTCTTTCCTTGCCTTCACCCCCCGGCCCCAGTACTGCCTTAGCACAGACCGTCTTCTTACACGTAGATCCCTTATAGGACCCCTCCTTATAACCATCCTGGACACCAGACCCTGTGTAACCCACCCTCCTTCTTGGTCCCACCAGGATTACTGCTCAGGAACACCAACTCGATCATGCTCCTCTCCTCCCTCTAAACCTTCAATGGCTCCCCACCGCTCCTTCAACTAGTGTGCAGAGCTCTGGACAATCTGGCCCGTCTCCCCCTTCAGCCTCCTCTTCCACCACCAACCCACATATATTCTCTGCTCCAGCTGTGAGGAACTTGGCTGCCGCCCCCCCCCAAACATGCCAGGTCCTTTCACACTTCCGGGCCTGCCCCTATCCTCTGGCCTGGCAAGCCCCCTCCATTCTCCTGGACCCAGCTCCAAGGTCACCACCACTCCAGGGGCTTTCTTTCTTCAGCCCCTCCCCCACTGCCTGTGGCCACCTCCTCACTGCTTCCCCCCAGCAGACTGTCAACTCTCAAGAGCAGGCAAGGATCATGCCCGTCACCTGTGGCCCCAGCTCCTCGCACAGTGTCCGATACGTACTAGGCACTGAATAAGCAAGTAATTAGGAATATAGTAGAGACTCTGAAAATACTCATCCGATTTAAAGGTAATGTACCAGCTTTATCAGTTAAAATCACCCAGGATCCAAATACAGAATCTCAACGATATGCGTGTATGGCTGGACTAGGGCACAGAACGGAGCAGTAGGTTGTACCCAGCAGTGTCAGGATTACACAATGCCCCCAGGGCAAAGGACAGCCTTAGAATCAGCCTAGAACCCCTTCTTAGGCCAGAACACGAGTTTACGTATAAGCAGTTTTCCCTCTGGCGTTAGCTCCAGTGCCCCTTCACTACCACTAAAAATTGGAGGGCAGGAGGCTAGGGCAATCCCTCTTTCAAGAAGACCCGTTCATTACTTTCCTCAAGTTTCAAGTGCCTAAGTTCTCGTCCTGGAGGTAAGTAAGCTTTGGGAATGTACACCTACCCAACATTCGAGCCTGTTTCCATCTTTTTAATCTTCTCACTGAACCCACATGTATCTGCTGCATCAGAAGGACCCTCAGCACACCCAACGCACTTCAGGGCTGATGCTGGCCTAGCTGGAGCCCACCCCTACTCCTCCAAAGGCAAGGCACTAGCCTATTGTATCCCTTACCCGCTACAACCCCACCATCAAGCAAAGAAGAGCCAGCATCAGGAACACTGGGGAGATTTAGGGCTTGTTCCTGGACTTGGCTATTTCAGCTACACTTGATGCACAGATACAGTAACCCAGTCACACTCAGGTACCATCCCTAGAGAGTCTTATCATGGCCTGGGGCTTTACCTGCCATGTCCCTGGCACAGGCAGCCAGGAAACTGAGCACTGCCAGTCAGCAAGCAAGGTTGGCAGCTGACTATGGCTCTGGACTAAAGTGTCTACCTCCGCAGTTTCTTTTTACCTGCCCCACCCACCTGGGTGCCGCATTCTTCCTCCCTGATCCCCAGGTATCCAGCACCCTGCTGCAGTCTCATCCAGGCTGGCAGCCAGACAAAACTTTCCATTGCACCCCCATACCATGTCACACTAAGAGTCAGACAACTACCAAAACTCACTGTGAATGGAGACGACCTAATGCAGGGGTATCAGCACTTTAGGAGGTGGCGGCTAACCGGCGCATCCCCCAGCCAAAGGAAAAGCAACCCCCCCTACCCCACCCATTCACAGAAGGAGCAGCTTTTCCACCAGCCTGTGGCAGGAGGGAAGGGACCAGAGCTCTCACTTTGCCACTCTTGTACGCATTTGCTTTCTACAACATAAGGCACGTGCTGGTGACTAGCAACAATAGATTCCGAATGCCCCGGAGTTGTCTCTGGGGACAATCTTTCAGGAACTTTCCCCTAGGTAATGAGCTTCTTAGGTAATGCAGCTCCTAAGCCCCTGAAATTGGGATCTGGTGTTGGCTGACAGCCAGGAACGTTGGCAATCTGGTTTCGTTCAACTGAAATTTGAAACTAGAAGTATTTCTGGTCCCCTCTCCCGGGGATGTTTATGTTAGGAGTCGGAACTCCGGCACAATTCGCATTCTTGGTGACTGAGGCTTCTCCCACTGTCCCCTACCATAGAAAGCGGCTGGGGGATCAGAGATCTGAGCGGTGACATGCAGGGTGGGGCGAGTCGGGGACCCCGGGGCTATAGACTCGCGCTCCCATAAGGCCTCAGTTTCCCATTTTTGAAGAGGGTCTTCGGTCCGACCGGGGACCAAGGCGTCCCGAGGGACCGGGTCCAGGCGGCTCACCTCTCGCGCCGAGCGGAGTTGCTGGCGCAGCGCGTCCTTGCAGCCATAGGGGCCGCCGGCGCCCACGCCGCGGGTCTGGAAGTGCGCCTCGACGCGCGTGGCGCCGCGGTAGGCACCCTGGTAGAAGGCCGGCCAGCCGAGCTCCAGCAGCGGTGGCTCCAGGTCCGACTGTTCCGGGAAATAGGTGCCGGAGGAGCAGTCGTGCGACGAGGCGATGGAGTCCTCAGCTCCCGCCGCCGCGCCCTCCTCGCTGGGACGCTCAGCCGTGAGCAGAATGGAGCGCACCTCGTCGGGGTTGAGGAAACTGCCCAGGCGCTCGCGTCGTAGGAAAGCCGTGAAGGCATCGGGGCCGCCAGCCACCAGCTCCTCGAGTGCCAGGCGCTGCGCCTCGCTGTACAGCTCGGCGAGGTTGGGCGGCCCGCAAGGAGACAGGCAGGCGATGGGCAGCTCGTCCAAGCCCTCGGAGAGCCGAGCCATGACGGTACTCGGACGCAACCAGGCTCAGGCAAGTGCAGACCAGCAGGCCGCTTTATAGGCACCTTTGAATCAAACTGGCCCGCGCCATTGGCCGCACAACCCCGCCCTGGCTCTCCCATTGGCTGCCTCTCCCTAACGGCGGAGGCCAGACGCAGCGCACGCCGCTACGGCCCGCCCCTTGTCGTGCATTGGCTGCCCCGCGGCCTGACCATCCTACGCCTCCGTATTGGCTGCTGGCTGCGATCAACCCTCGGCTCTGGTTAGGGATCGCTTAGCGGAATTTAAATTTGCGACTAGGTGCCTGATCCGACGTAGCCGTTCCTGCTCAGGCCCCAAGGGGCACCGAGCTCTTCACGGTCTGCAAGAGAGTGGATGGGCCTGAGTGGCCGCGCGGCCCGGGCAGCGGCGCAGGCAGCAGAGTCCGATCTGAAGCCTGAGTCCAGCCTCCTCCATTCTAGTGCGCCCCCTGCCGGTCCGCCCTACAGCGCGGCCCTAAAGGCCCGGGGCGGTGAGACCTAGGCACCAGGAGCGGGGGCTGGCGCCTGCTCCCGGACAGGCTGCTGCTCCTGGGCTCTTAGAGCTTGGGCGTGACCAGCCATGTTGCCTTTTCCCCCTGCATTTCACCATTCATTCATTCACTCGTTCAAAAATACCGGCCCATCATAATAGCCACTCCTCTGATGACGCCCTCAGGTAACTTTGTCTTCCCTCATTTCACCGTTTTGTATTTTTTTTTTTTTTTGCCTGACAAAACTCAAATCCTGTTAAACCCCACTCTCCACCTACTTTCCATCTGCACGCAGTTAGCCATACTCGTACAGTGCTGGAGAAAAGAAAGCGCAGCCAAGCTGACAGGTGTGCCTTAAACTTATGATCTCAAGTGGGCCCTTAAGGTTTCCTGCCAGCCTATAGTTCCCTCATTCACCTCTTCCTCTCTGTCTCTTAAGCGTTTCCGTTCTATTTCACCGAGAAAATAAAAGCGGTCAGAGAAAACTTCCACAATTACCCGCCCGTTCTCATCTCTGCTTACATACTGGGCCTTCCGTTACTATCCATTAACTGCCCCTTCCGTTCCGGGAATTCTTTCCTCTCCGCGCTGGATCGTCCATTTCCCTTCTTCACTGGTTCACTCCTCTCAGCATTTAAACATGCTGAAATCGTTTTCATCTTTAAACAGCCCTCCCTTGAGCCGACATTTCTCTAGAGCTTCTCCCCCCACCCCCACCCCACCCCCCGTTTTTCTGCTCACTTTGCTAGCATAAAACCACAAATGAGTTTTCTAAGCATACTCGCTCCAGTTTTCCTCCCATTCTCTCTTGAACCCTGTGCAATCAAGCGTATGCCTCCTCTGCTCTACCAAAACCTCTTGTTCAGGTCATCATCAGCGCCACAGTGCTAAAGCCAACAGTCAATGTTCAGGCCTCGCTTTGCGTAAATGAGAAAGCATGTGTACAAGTGTAAAGTGCTTCTCAAATGTGAGAGGTTACCATTATTATTTAGAAGCCAATAAACTTTTAAAGTAAGTCAGTGGTCGCTGCAGCAAAAATACCTGTGTTCTCATCCTCTCCCCATCCCCAGCCTGTTTGTAAAGTTTTTCAAGCTCAAGTGTGAGGCCTGCTCTGTGTCCCTGCTCTGGCATCCACTGTCCAGAAGGGTCCAAGAGAGCACTCTTTCCATCCTCTTCCAAGATACCAACAAACATCTGCAAAGGACAAAGACGGAGGACCACGGCCTGGGGCAGTGCAATCACCTAGCGTGCCTCTGTTGCCTGAGGGAAAAAGTGAGACCACCAGGGTCTCGCCTACTGTGTTGTTGTAATATAGGGTTTTTTTTTACCTCCTCACTGTAAGCTGTATAAGAGAAGGACTGGGGTGGGTGGGGGAGAAGGTCAGTGCACCCCAAGAACGAAACAGAACAGAGGGGCAGCCCTGTTACATGTAAATACGTCATCAGACAAACCTTTGGAAGTATGAAAGTATGAATACACACACACACACACACACACACACACACGGTTCCAAAAAAATGTATACACATGTTAAGAAAGGAAAACTGTATTAAAATTGTAACACTCAATATATACCCATAACAAAAAATGACTACAAGTCACATTTGACTTCTGCAATTACAAGAGGTGTTCAGAGTGGTTACTATCAGCATCCAGACACTTCTGATTACGGTGAGCTACTGCTTGAGCAATGTTGACTCAAGTGTCCACTTGTATACATTTTTTTAGCACCCCCGAAATCTATGTATGCCAAAGGGAACATTGACAGAGTGAAGGTCATTCCCAACCATCCATCTTTTCTTGAATTCACCACATTTCACCATCTCCTGGTCTAGAAAGACATCTGCTCCATGTCTCCATGCGTGAGGCTTCAGAGATCTTTCTGTTTCCGGGGCCTCCTGGGAGAGCCTTCTGTGGTGGGGGCTCTCCCCACCCTTCAAGTCAGCGCAGTTCAAGTGAGCTCACAGCAATGACCACAGCCACACGAGCAGGTGTTATTAAAAGGAATTTAATAATCTTAATTAAAAACTCTTAACAGCGAATTCCATCACAGGCCTTGGCAGCTAGAAGCAACTCCAGGGGCGTACCCCTGTGGGATGTGGTTGGGCCACGGTCTTGGACATGAGGCCCACCCCTGCCACCTGGTGGGGAGCTACCTGGAAGTTACTTCAATACAATATCAAAGATCCGCGAGGATTTTTTTTAAAAAAAGTTTTAAATATATTAGACTCTCTTGATTGCCATTTTTACACAAAGCTGCTGATACAGTATACGGAGTTTTAACTTTTTTTCACATAAAATACATTTTTCGTAAGTATTCTCTGTACATCAGTGGCTTCTGGTCTGGTGAGTTATTGCGGAGGGCTGGGGGTCTGCAGACTTGTCCTAGGTGTGCAGAGCCAGGCCCCGCACTGCGGCACTTACATGCCCATGGGAAGCAGGCCCTCTGGCCAGCTGGCCAGCGAGAGACTCCTGTTGAGGACAGGGCTGAAGCCTGTGGCAAAGAGGATCACTTCTGTGGAGTTATCCACTGCCCACATGACCCTTTGCTCTTATGTGCCCTGGGGAAGGGGAGGCTGTCCCCAGGCTACAATAGCAAGAGTTAAATATAGTCTTTCTGAGCATCTCATAAGCGCCTTCTGGAAAGGACCCAGTATCCTACTCAGGGAGAGCTCAAGGTCAAAAGGTAACTGACATCAATAACCCAAATGGTCTCATGTTATTACAAAGCCAGCAACCTGTGGTGGGATAGGACAGGGGCCACACCCTTGTTAACCTTCTAAGTCCGTTTAAATTGATCACACAGTGCAGAGCAGTTTCATCAATTGCCAGCCTTCTCCCAGCCCCTTCATCCACACCTGCCAGGAAGAGGCAGAATCAGGAGGAAAGGATTTCATGTTAAAGGAGAAGCTCCTTCTCCTCCCATTAGCCATTGGTGGGGCAGGAAGATACATAATCAATGAGCAAAAATCAGCAAGAGACAATGAGTTTAAGAACCTGAGATGCCTAGGTAGGGCGGTAAATTCCAGACTCCGTATTCTTCTAGACACTGACCTCAAACTGCTGTTACCCGGTGCCCCAAAGATGCTGGACTGAAGGCAGCTATCCCTGAGAGTTCCAGATGGACTTGGGACGGTGTCTGCCTGGAACCCAAGATCCAGCATCTGCGTTTAGTGGCAAATGTCATCCAGGAGTGGCCATGACAGCTGTTTCCTGGCTAAAGGGGATTCATACTCTAGGAAGCCCAGGAGCTGGAAAGCAAAGGGGTGCTGGACCAGGATGCAGTCACTCTGTCTCAGGCGAATTGAACGGGCTGCTGCTGACGCCCATGGTTCTCAAGGGATGAAAACGGTAACGAACCGTCTCCTCACTTTATCTTGCTCCTTCTTTATCCCCAGACGCTAATATAGCACCTGGTATGTCACAGCTACTCAATAAACTACATGAGTGGATAAATGGATGACCCTAGCCCCAGCTCTTACTGCAACACCTAAGAGACCTAGAGGGAAAGTACCCCAGGTACTTGAACCCCTACCAGGGAATAGTTTGTCCTTGACTGAAAATGTGAGCTAGTGCCCAAGAGTCTGTAGTTGGCTCCTATTGGGGGGGCCGGGATTCCCAGCCTTCTGGGTGGGAGAGGAATGGCCCAGGCGGCAGGAAGCAAGGGGGACAGAGGCAATGGCCAGAAGGTGCAGAGTGGGCAATGACTGCTTCCGGGCTCCGGCTCCTGAGCGAACAGATCCAAAAACCTGCACAGCTCTCGCCTGAGGAGTGTGTGGCTGCCGCCGGCACTCCCTAGCTGGCCGCTCAAGTCAGCTCAAGAGGAATTTCAATGTTCGTCTGATCTACACACTGCTTTAAAGCCAAAGGTTGTGTGTTTTAGATCAGCCCTGCCCTGCTCCAGCCGTAAGCTGACATGATGGAGAGCTCGCCCCAGCCCCCAGGGACATGGGAGGCGTCCTACACAATGGTCTGCAGAGTCCTGACGGGCCCCTCCACCCTAGACTGGATCTGTCCTGGGGCTGGGGTATGGGTGGCCTGGTTCTGTGACCTGTCCTGCATCCAGGAGTTGCTAGGGGCACAGTGACTTCCCTCGCACCCCGTGCTCTCCAGGCCAGCTGCTCTACTCTTGGTAAAGCATCAGCCAGGCCTCCAAGGACCCAGCTGTCTCTCTGGGTAACGGGGGCCATAGGGGGCCACAGGGGGGACTAGGGCTGACAGGCAGCAGATCCATTCCTAGGGTTGTGGGACAAGGGGGGCTTCTTCAGCTCCAGCCCTTTGGCCCAGGTGCCCCTCAGGGAGAATTTTTCATAGGCTCAGAAAGAAGAGGGTGAAGGGGAACCCAGATTGGTCCCCCAAATCAGACTCTGGATCTAAGGGGCTCCTTCAGAGCTCTAAGGAGGTAGTTTTAGGGCAAATTAAAGGCGCACAGAGCAGGAAACAAACCTGCTCATTAGTTACACTAACAGGTTTTAGCTGAGCCTATAGACAGCGCCCAACTCATAGGCAACAATTTCATAGGGGCTTATGAGAGAATGCCGTGGAGAAGCGGTGGACAGCCTGCCCCTTGTGGTACAACCTCCCCAGCATCAGAGAGATTGGGGTTATGAAATTGCAGGGCTGGGGCAAGACCCAACTCCAGCTCCACCACCGCGCTCTTGAATGCAGCGCAGGACGGTGGCCATGGGCACCTTGGGTTGGCTGCCCTGGGGCGTTACCACCCTGGCAGGAGCAGGCTGGGAGCCCCGGAGCCAGGCAGGAACTCACGAGGGCCAACTGGCCAACTTGTCTCACTGAATATTCCAGAAAAGGCAAAGCTGGGCCTGGGGTCCTGAGCATTCACTCGGGGAGGGGTGGGCGGCAGCAGCCCCTCGCTGCTGACTCTGATGGCTCAGTCGAAGGAGGGCTGACTGAGATAGGCTAGACTGAAACCGTCAATATTCACAAAGATCAGCCGGGGTCCTGGGCTCTGTCATGGTTCCCAGAGGTGTTTGCAGAAGTTACCAACATGAACTTGCCCCTCTTCTTGGAAAAGCCCTACAAACTGAAGCTTCTGACTTAGCTCATGTTCCAATACCAGTCAGTGAAACCTAGTGATCATGCTAACTATCCATGAAAGCAGCCCCACTCAGTTACCTCCCGCCTAGAGTTTTACAGCCTAAAATAATTATTGTAGCAAATGCACTTTTAGAAACACTAACTTTGTTCCCCACCCGCTCCACGTTTTGATGCTTCCATCCAAGAGCAAAATGCAATTTTGGTTCTTCCAGGGATGGTTTTCCACCTTGACCCCTGGGTAGTCACACAGCTGGTTCCTGATGAACAAGGCTGTGGGGAGCAGGCTTGTGTCCATCGCATCCACCCATGTTGCTACATGGCTCCCTCTGAACAGAGGATTTTCTGCTCCTGCCATGTGTGGATGGTGGTCCAGACCCTGGTAGGACTCTGGGTGGGACTCTGGGTCTCGGCTTAGCAGGCCTCCTCCCCTGCTAAAGCCATGTTGGCAGTGGTGACAAAAACTCCGAATCTTAACCTCAATCCTTTTAGGAATAGCCCACAAATTCTCAGTCCTACCTGCTTCCCATGAGCCCAGCTGTCACTCCTACAAATGTTGATGATGGAGCGTGTGTGCGCGCGCGTTGATGTGTGACATGCGAGTACTGGTCCAGAGAAGCCTTTACCAGCAATAGAACTGGAATCCCAGTCCTCCCTCCCAAAATCTGACAGCAGGGTGAGTCGAGAAGCCAGTAGAGCCTTGTTTCTGACGGCAGACAATGCAGCAGGAAGCAGAACTGTGGGAAGCGGTGATGCTAGGGGCAGCTAGCTGAGAGGTGGGGTCAGTGTTCCTCTGGACAGCAGATCCCACCTCCCCACAGCTGCCCTCCGAAGCCTCTCCAGCCAGGGTTGCTGGGCTGGCCTGGATTCCAAGGACCCCTCCCCAAAGCATCTCTCTCCTCCATCACATGGAGACTATGAGATGCGGCAGCAGCCATGAACTTTCTCCTCCATCTCCTCCATGGGGGCCTTGAACTTCAAGAGTGGGGGATCTCCGCTGGTGACCGTGTAATACACTGAGGTCCCACTGCTGCTGTATGGTGAAGTTCTACCTCCGATCAAGGGGGCCTTGCCTTCGCTGCTGCTCTCGCCGGTCCTGGCCATGGCGCCGCCCAGGTGGGTGCTCAGGAAAGGGTGGCTGAGCAGCTTGGCTGCAGCACGCTGCCGCTTCAGCTCCAGGAGCGTCTGGGGGCTCTGATCCTTGTAGCCACTCCAGGGTGGGGTGGCATCAGCCATGCCAGGGCTGCCGTAGACCATGTTGTAGTCAGGCACCTCATGCACTTTCCAGACATCCCCGTTGGACAGTGCATACTGGTAGGCGCTAACTGGAGCCCGGAGGCCATTCTCAATAGGCACGTCCATTTCACTTCGTGGGATCTTGGTAGAAAACTCGGAGAGCAGCACAGGCTTCTCCAGCCGGGGGTTCTGAGGGAGAAAGGAGAGCATTACCAGCTGGCCGGAGGAGCTGAACCCACTCCCCACTTGCACCTCTGCTGAGGGCATTGTTGTCCGGACCTGTCCTCCAACGGCTTTCTCTACCTGGGCAAAAGGACCTCCATTTTGCTTTGGGGAATTCACCAATCTATGTGTTTTGGTAGAGCTGACCAACCCCCATCTTTGCTCCAGGGGCTGGGCCATGAACCCAGGCCTGGACTGTCAACATATTCACTACAGAAATTGGTCTGGGTATGGGTTCTTGACCGAAATTGGTTCGATGAAACTCAACCCTGGGACTTTTGCTAGAATGATTAGGAAAGAGAAGCTCTGTTCCTATAGGAATTGTGTGTGGTAAGAAGGATATAAGCTGGGGGCTGGGGAGACACCATATCAAAGGGTCTTCCTGACAGTGAAGGTGACATGAAGCGGGGGGGGGGGGGGGGACTGCATTCCTGATGATGCATTTTGAGCCCTTGGATCCAGCGGGGCCCGGACTCTGCAGTGACGTGAGCCAAGAAACTCCTTTTTTGTGTAAGGCGATTTCAGTTGGGTTTCCAGTCATTTGCAATCCTTCTGTATTCCCAGCATATCTCCACTCCAAATGGCAGAGATTCTTACCCAGAGGCCCTTTACACCCAGAAATTCCTGGATAACAAGAGCTTTAAAATTAGCTGCTGCCTAGAAACTATAAATGAAAACGTAGATCCATTTGACAAAAACAAAAATGTAAAACCCAGCAAAACTCACCATACACAAAGTCAAAAGACTCATGACAAAACTAAAAAAAAATCTATATCATATATGACAGAAAAGGGACCAATTTATCAAATAAATAAAGAGCTCTTAAAAGGCCACTTTAAAAAATGGACTACCCGGGCCGGCCGAGTGGCGCATTGGTTAAGAACTGGCTTGGGATGCCAGAGGGCCCCAGTTCAGATCCCACATATGAGGGCCAGTGACATTGCCCTCTACAGCTAAGATGCTGAACAAGAGCTTGATCTGGGGCTGGGCTGCTGTGGGTCACCGGCGACGGCGTAGGCTGCAGTCCCCTGCTGCAGAGGGTTGCCATGGACTACCGTGTGTAGCCAGCAGCCAGCATGAGCAGCCGTCCATAGGCCGGCGACTGATCTGCCTCATCCGAGAAGAGCGCAGTGATGGTGCCAGCTTGGGCCAGTGAAGCAACATCCTCCACAACTAGACTGAAGAACAAAAGGACAGCAACTTGTCTGTTCCCCTTCCCCCGATTCTCCAGCGCTGTTCCCTTCCCCCGATTCCCCAATAAAATCTTTCAAAAAAAAAAATGGACTACCCAACAGAAAAAATTAACAAAGGACACCAATATACAGCTCACAGCAAAATATAGCCTGCAAACATAGGAAAAAATATTTAACCTCAATAATAATTAATGACCTAAAAATTGAAACAACAAATTTTTTACCTATCACATTGAAAAATATTTTTAAAGTTTGTTATTACTCAGTGTTGGCAAGGGTTGAAAAATAGCTAGGCATGTAAACTGCCACAATCTCTTTGTTATTACTCAGTGTTGGCAAGGGTTGAAAAATAGCTAGGCATGTAAACTGCCACAATCTCTTTTGAAGGACAACATCACACCATCAAAAAAAAAATTTTTTTGTTTTTAAAGAAGAATGCATACTTTGTACCAGCAAGCCCAATTCTAGGACTTTGTTTCACAGATCTATTCCCCCAGGAGAGCATAGCCTGAAAGTCATCCTTAGGCAGCTGAGAAATTATGGCAAGTCCTTGTACAAGAACATTCCACAGCTGGTAAAAAGAATGCAGGCAATCTCCATGTGCTGACTTGGGATTCCAAGAATCCCCATTTCTTAGAAAGATCTCCAAGAAATATAGAAATCACAAAGAAAGATAAATAAAGCATAGCTGGGAGGCATCTGAAACGTGATTTGATCTCAATCTACAACTCTGTTCTCCCCAACCCCCAGCCTTGGGGACGAGGTGGAACAAAGCTTCGGGGTCCCCTTCCATAGGCACCGTCACTCCTGCTGTTGAGACATGTGACCTCCCTGTTCACACAGGGAAACACGGTCCCACTGAGATGCGTGGGCACACTGGGCAGCCAATCATTTTGCATACTGCCAAAGCAATACTCTCTAGACACGTTTTCAGCGGCTCATTGTGTGGTGGAAGAGCCAATCTCCCAAAAGATACAGTCAGATACAGTCAGCCTCTCCCTTCGTGTCCCCAGCAATTCTGCTCTGGCCCCAAACTTGCTTGCCCCACTCAGCAGACCACAGTCATGCATGGGCCTGAGTGCACTGGAACTGAGTCAAACAGTGTCTCCACTACATTCATATCTTCCCCACTTCTCTGAATGTGGACCTTATTTGCAACGAGGGTTTTGCAGGTGTAAGTTAGTAAATTAATGAGGTCATGCTGGATCAGGGTGGGCACTAATCCAATGACTGGTGTCTTTCTAACAAGAGAAAAAGAGAGACACAGACATATACAAGAGGAGGAAGGCCGTGCGAAAACAGGCAGAGATTGGAGTCGTCCTAGCAAAAACCAAGGGACGCCTGAGCCACCAGAAGCTAGGAGAGAGGCATGGAGCAGACACCCCTTCAGAGTCCCCAGAAGGAACCGACCCTGTTGACACCTTGCTTTTTAGACTTCTGGCCTCCAGGACCGCGAGAGAATAAATTTCTGTTGTTTTAAGTTTCCACTTGGCAGGCATGTATTACAGCAGTCTTAGGAAACCAATACAGCATCCTCCTAGCGAAGGAGTTTAATGCCGGGGACCACTGACTACTACTGGTGCAGGCTTCTGTGAGGTTCTACCAGCACCCTACTCAGTTTTTCAAAACACTTCTTCCGATCAGATGTATTCTGGTAAACACAATTCTCAACTTTTTGTTATACTTCCCCCAGAAAGTTGTAGTGTCCTCAGTTTCCGGCGTGGCTGCCCTACCAAACCTCTCTTCTGGGAAGCCCAGAATGCAATCTGCTGGGGCAAAAGCAGGCACGTGGCTGTCACTCACTCTCTGTCGAATATGAGCCTCTACTATGAGCCAGAGCTCCCAGCTTTGGTTCAGACAGACACTAGGCTCGCCTCATTAATCGCAGTAGCTACCATATCAGATGTGATCCAGATGGTTTAAGGGCCCTGCTCGGCTAATCTCCTGCAGACCCTCAGATGAAGAGGCAAGTGCAGGCAGGGGCCCCGTCTCCCTCCCAAGGCAGTGGCTGACACTGGGGTATGAGGCACTCACTGGGTCCTTGTTCTCCTGGTCCGTCCTGGTCTCCCGGATGTCCCCGTTGTAGGTCGAGGTCCGCTGATCCTCGGCTGCACTCCGCTGCTGCCACAGGATGGCCTCTCCCTCATACTCCTTCCTGTACAGGTTGGTCCTATCCGACAGGCTGGCTCGACGCACCACCTTCCTGGAGGGAGACAGGGGGTGCTGGAGGCTGCATCCAGGCACCATCAGCAGGAGCATGCATGGGACCCCCCCCCCGCTGCCCAGTCCCTGACTTACCCACGGCTGCCCGTGCTGGACGTCCTCCGGCTCAAGGACGACTTGTGCCTCAGCTGTGACTTCATGATCACATCGTGCTTGTGTTTTAGCTCCAGCAGCAGGACCTTGAATTCTTCCTCCTCACACAGGTCTGAAATGGCAGAGGAGTCTGTTGTGGGGAGGTGGGCAGGACAGAGGCCTGTGGCCCCCGAGAGCCCTCCAGACAAGAGGAGCTGCCACTCTAACCCACTGAAAACTCCCAGCATCCTTTGGAGCATTCTGGGAGGGGAGCAAACAACTCCAGTCTTATTTCCTGAGCTACAACCCAATCCTTCGGGGAGAATAAGAACAGGAAATCCAGGTTCCACACAGTCACGACTCCTAAGGTTCCCAGCTATGATGGAAGGAGTCATGTAGCTTTGATAGTTCCCAAGAGGAGCCATCAACTCTCCACTGACACAAGAAGTAACAACAAAAACAAGCATGTATCCCATGGAGCACAAGCAAGAAATTATGCAGAGATGCTGAAATCTTATATATATCCTTACCCACTCAAACCCACTTAATCCTTTCATTCATCCATTTAGTCCCTGACCCAGTCATCCATCTATAGATTTATCCTCTACCCACCCACTCTCTTATTCATCCATCCATCCATTGTCCACCCATCTATCCATATGGTCATCCACTTATGCATACATTGATCTATCTATGCATCCACCCATTCGTCCATCTATCCATCCATTAATGTATCATCCATTAATTTATTCATTCATTCATCTATCCATCTAAACACCAACCCAGCATCTGCCCACCCATATATTCACTCATTTATCTCTCTACCCATCTAGAAATGGACGAGTGCCTACGTTGTGTACCAGGTGTTATGCTGGACTTACCTATTGGCATCTCATCCATGGATGTTCTAGCACTGAGACTGGCCCCATGGGACACCAATAGCTCTGCCATCTGCATCTGAAACACAGGAAGAAGCCCACGTTCCCCCTGCTCAGGGCTCAGAGAGCCTAGGAGGTGGAGAGAGTGCCTATGGCCTCTTATGATGTGACCCACAGAACGGTGGGGCAAAGTTGATTCTTAGAGAATCAAAAAACCTGGAGCCAAGAAACCTGGGATGCAATGGACTTGACACCTCCTCCAGCATGCTCGGGACAAGGGACAGAAGAAAAAGGAGTCAGCTATCACTCTAGGGCTGTCAGGTATCCATGGAGGGACTGCAAAAGCTGGAACCAGAGTTTTCTATCTGGGAAACAAATGGAGGAACTACTCACGGCAGAAACACAGGGAATTTTCTAATTTGGCAAATTTGATTATCATCCTGTTAGAACACTTGTCAAATGTTTTTGTAAACTCTCTAGGCATTTTCATATCCCATATACTAGCTGTAGTCAATCCCTTAAGTCGGGTCTTGTGTTCTTTTGAACCAACTCCCAGCCCAAAGGACAGCACGTTGACCATGTGCTGGCCTCCTTGATAGCCCTGTGGGTGAGAACTACCTGTCCCCAGAAGGCAGCTGCATGCAGTGGCTCCCAGCCATCCCAGTCCTTCACATCCACACGCACTCCATGGTCCAGGAGGAGCTCAGCTGCCCGCAGGTATCCATTGGCCCCCGCTATGTGCAGCTGAAGGAGAGGAAAGAAGGGAGAATTCCCTAGGGGCTGGTCCCACATTTGCAGGTGGGATCGCCCTCTTCCCGACCCCAGTCCCAGATCATTCTTGGGGCCAGTAGAATGGAATAGAATAAGGTGGAAATACCAGCTATATTGCAGAGGATTATTAAGTCTGCAATATGGACCTAGAAGGTAAGGCGGAGTGGTGAGCTCTTCTCCCCTGTGGTTGGTCTTAGAGCCCCTGTAATAAGACAACAGCATTTACTGGGTCCTTACTATGCACTGAGCCCTGTAGAAGGGGTCTCAGGTCCAATATGGTGGTTTTAAGATATGTCTACAAATTCTTTCCCTTTAAAAGATGGCGCTTAATTCCTCTCCCCTTGAATGTGGGCCATATTGACTGACTCGCTTCTAAAACATAGGATTTTGTGAAAGGGTGGTGTGTGATTTCTGAGGCTAGGTCATAGAAGGCATTGCTGCTTCTACCTTATGCGCTCTTAGATTAATCATCTCTAGAGGGTGCAGCTGCCATGTAGTGAGGACATTCAAGTAGCCCGAAAAAGAGACCACAAGGAGATGAGGAACTGAGACCTCCTACCATGAGCCAATGCTAACCTGCCAGGTATCTTGGAAGTGGGTCTTTCAGCCCCAGTCAAGCCTTCAGATGACCACAGCCCTGGCTGACAACTTGACTGCAACCTCACGAAAGACCCCAAGCCAGAGCCATCCAGCTAAACTGTTCCCAATTTCCAGACCCATAGAAACTATGTGAGGTAATAAATATTTCTTCTTGTTTCAAGATGCTAAGTTTTGGGGTAGTTTGTTACACAGCAATAGTAACCAACATATCCAATAAGGGAAAACCCCACGTTGACATGCCAGGTGAAAACCTGGCACCATTCAAAGCCTCTGGTGGTGGGCGGCACCTTGCAGACCTAACTGTCCTACCTGTTCAATCTCCCAGAAAATACATAAAATACTTAGCACACAATGAACCCTCAGCAAGTGATTAACATTCTTAGAGAGCCCTAAGTGACGACAAAGTGCACCATGGGGATGGATGAAGGAGCAAGAAGGAGACAAAGCACAGAGGAACCAACTGTCCAGCCAAGGTGAGAGACAGAGAGATAAGAGCCCTAGGAAGCCAGCAGAAGACTGGCTGGGAGGAAACAGGGGCCCCAACTGTAGCGGTGTGCTCTCCACCCGGTGCTGGCCCACTTCAGCTCGAGCTGCTCTTGGTTCTGGCCCACGTCCTCACCAGCGTGGCACCCTGGGCATCACTCCAGTCCAGGTCCTGGCCCGCCGCAATCATACAGTGGATGTCTGAGATCATCTGCTGCTCCGGAGCCGCCCGCATCTCGTTGATTTTCTCTTGAGTGATGCCTGCAGTAGGGAAGGGGGAATCAAGTCAGCACCCCCGGGCCTAGGCCACAAGCGGGGAGGGGAGGGGAGGCAGATGGGGGAAGCGAGGCTCCTGCTCCCCAGGGTCTGCCAGTCAAGGGGGGAGACAGACATGCTCACAGATTGCTGCCTTTCAGACCCGGTGAACACAAACACCACAGAGCAAGGGCCATCCCTGCCTGCACCCAGTCGGCACCGTAATGATATCAGTTATTGTTCCATAGGCTGTTCTTCTACCTGGAAGTCCCCACCACCCACCTACCCACCTCCAACTGCTCAAATGGTTGGCTCCATCTCCTCGTCTAGGTCTGGCCTGGATCACCGCCCCATTGCCCTCCTCTGACCACCCTAGCTGACCAGGGTCCCCGTGCATGCCCCTCTTTTCTTGCACAGTGGTATTTGCAGCACCTGGCACAAGGCTCAATGAATTTTTGTAATGGGCAGGACTGAATGAATACGTAACTTTTAAATGGAGCGTTGAATACATTGCGGCGGAGAGACCTAGAAAGACATTTAAAAGCCTGAATCTCTGGCGAAAACAAGTGTTAAGTGTTACTGGCAGCTACTAATGGTATTTCAGGAGAGGGTGGCGTGCTCTATGAAAAGGCCCATTAGATTAAATATTCTTGGATAGAATTCAGGGGAGGTGTGTAAAATGAAAAAGAGGAAGAAATTATATGTTTATTTTCATTAACCTTTAAATGAACTAGAGCATTTCCTTCCATCAGAACATAGGCAAAACCCACAGAGTTAGCAGTGCCTGTGACTTTGTCACCAAATTAATTCTTGTGTCTATGAATTAATAAAGTTTGCGTATAGCACATTTAAAAATATCTTGGTAGGTTTATTTTAATATAATTGGTTTCCTTTATTATCCTATGATTTGGGGAACTGTATTGAAAAGCATTATTCTGAGGAGGGGTCCATAAAACTGTTAAGACCCTCTGCAAAAGATGAGCAGTGAAAGTTTGGGTGACGGGGAATGGAGAGACCAAATTGGCAGTATTGTTGGAATCTGGGAAGAAACACAAGGGTAGGACCCGGGGCAGGATCTCGGGCTACAGCCGAGGGTCTGGATTTGAGATTTCCTTCTGAGGAGGCGCTTCCAAAGCACTTATGCAGAGCGATGGGGGCAGGCTGGTCTCTCTGATTGCTACATTTGTTTCCTCTCTGAAGCTCATTTGTGTGCTGAGAACAGCCCACATCTTGTTTATCCCAGCCCCTGGCAGCCAGCGTGGTGCCTGGCAGGCACCCGCGACTGTTCCTGACTTTTTATTATTTTCCCAAATGGGAATATATCTTTATTGCGAATGTTTATTGAATTGTCACAGCTGACAAAGAGACAAGGCCAGCTGCGGCCGCCCGCGTGTGTGGGTGACACAGAGGAGAACAATACCTCCCTTCTGCACAGCATGTTTTCCAGGGTCCTTTCGTGTCTCATCTTGTGAATCACACGATAACAATAATAATGGGGACCCATCCCCTTTCCTGAGCGCTGAGCATGAGGCAAGCAGGTACGGAGTTCGCTAACTTGTTCATCTGCGTTGATTTCAGAGATGCTCACTGCAACCCCGCCCAGAGCCCATTTTATGGCATGTGCCCCGCTCTTACCCTGGTACGCCATGCATGTCTCGATGACATCCAGGGTGGGCTCATCTTCGCAGAGGTCATAAGGCATGTTCCCATCAGAGTTGACGGCAAGCAAGTCGGCCCCGCTGCAGAGAAAGGGCCAGGGTAAGGGCTAGGGAGGTGTGGCTAGCGGTGGTCTGGCTGCTTCTGCCCTCCAGCCTCTCACCCACAACCCCACTGTGCATCCAGCACCCACAACCCCACCAAAGTACACCCCAGAAGGATGGCAACTTCAGGATCCTGGGGGCTCCGACTGTGAAAAGGCCCAAATCCTAGGACCTCCCCCAGCATCCTGCTCTATTGAGCCAGTAGGCAGGCAGCTGGGGACAGATGTCAAAGTCCTCCCTGGTGACAATAATTAAAATGACATTAACAGCAACAGCACCACTTACCAGGCACTTGCTTAGAGTCAGGCCTGATCTAAGCCCTTCATACACATCATCTTATTTGTGTATCAGGTCAGCACTGTTGGCCCCACCTCACTCAAGGGGAAACAAAGACTCAGACAGGTTCAGTGACTTGTCCAAGGTCACACAGCTAGGATGTGGGAGGGTCAAGGCTCAAACCCGGGTCAAACCCTTTTTCCTCTCGCACCATTACTGATTGGGCTGTTGTCACTTGATGCTCAGGCACATTTAGCCACACCCAGGTTCTCATCTGAGGTGCGGGCATGGGCCACCAGCCAGTCCTTTGGCCTAACAGCCCTCCAGTATGACCTCTCTGAGCTCCTGTGTGCCCCTGGGCAAGCTAACCCACTTCTCTGAGCCAGGGAAGCAGTACTGACATCTCCATCCTGCAGCAACCACCCAATGGACCCTGCTTCTCTGCAAGACCTCCGTAAAAGGTCACCTGCTGTTGGCCACGCTTTCTGACTCCCTGCACTCAGACAGCCTCCTTGACCTCCTGGGATCCCAACCCACTGGGCTCACTCTGGTACTGAAATCGCCTGATTTCCTGCCTGGTTCCTCATGGCTTTTGCACCCCTGAGTGCACAGGGCCTGGCCCAGCTCAAGTGCCCACAAATTATTAGATGAATTTAATTGAATATACTTAAAATGAAATGTTGCCCTTTTTTGTGTGTTTATAGAACCTGAGCAGAGTAGAAAGAATTTCAGGGCACGGAAAGACCATCAGAGCAGTACAGAGAGACATGGCCTTATTCCAGGGAAAGTTACTGTTGCACGGAGCCCCCAAAAGCAAGGTCTGCTCCAAAGAAAAACATATGAATAGAATTTGGGGGGCAGGGGCAAGAAAGTATGCTTGCTCTTTTTTTTTTTTGATAGCAAGAAAAACAAAAATGGGAATAACATTAAAGAGAACAGAGGAGATAAACACGAACTCATAGACTCTTGGAGACCAACAGAGAAAAAGATATTTTAAAAAAGAGAACTATATCCTGATACTAAAGCCAGATGAAGACACCACAAGAAAAAAAAAATCACAGGTCAATATCTCTATGAACACATGCAAAAATTCTCAACAAAATACTAATAAGCTAAACTCAGCAACATATTAAAAGGATTATACACCATGACCAAATAGGGGTTTATTTGTGTATTGTAAGGATAGTTCAACACACAAAAAATGATTGATGTAATTGATGTAATGTAACAGAATGAAAGAAAAAAAAACGATTTGATCACCTCAATTTACACAGAATAAGCATTTGACAAAATTCAACACCCTTTGGTGATAAAAACACACAACAAACTAGGAACAGGTGAAAACTAAATCAACATAATAAAAGCCATACAAGAAAAAACCCAGTGAACATCAAACTTAGTGGTGAAAGCCTGAAAGCTTTTCCTCTAAGTTCAGAAATAAGGCAAAGATGTTTCCTTTTTGCCACTTCTATTCAACATAATCCTAGAAGTTCTAGCCAAGGAAGTTAGGCAATGAAAAGAAATAAAAGGCATCCAAACTGAAAGCGAAGTAAAATTATCTCTATTCACAGATAATATGATCTTATATGTAGAAAACCCTAAAGATTACACACACAAAAATGTTAGAACTAGGGCCGGCCGAGTGGCGCGATGGTTAAGAACTCGCTTGGGATGCCAGAGGGCCCTGGTTCGGATCCCACATATGAGGGCCAGTAACACTGCCCTCCACAGCTAAGATGCTGAACAACAGCTCAACCTGGAGCTGGGCTGCCTGAGTCACCGGTGACGGCGTGGGCTGCAGTCCCT